GGACGGCATCAGAGCGCTAGCCGCAGCTCCTTCCCGCCCGCCCGCCCACCTGTCTGTGGCTCCCTGGACGGCAGAGTGGACAGCTGCAGCCAAGCCAGGTAAGACATCCCCCGAAAATAAGACCTAGTGTCTTTTTTCATAGAAAAAAAATAAATAAGACACTGTCTTATTTTCGGGGAAACACGGTAGTACAGCCTAAGGAACCTGAACAATTGTGCAACACTTCTTACTGACCTAAGGAACTAAAAAATGTGCAGTTCATATCAAGCTACTTCTACAGTAATAGTAATAATAATAATAACAACAAATCCTACATAGTGATCCAGTGGGTGTCATAACTGCTCCCAAACTGCTGAAAGGTCCCAAATAATTTTGGCAAAAGCCGGAGAGAGACAACGACAGACCTAGAAATGAAAAAGGAGAAACAAAAAACAAGTTTACTGGGGCCTCCATGAATCAAATATCCCTAATGCACGAAGCATTGACTTATGTTAACCATACATACCTCATATAGTTACCAGTCAGTTAAAGGGTTCCCTCAAAACTAATATTTGACTATTGGGCCGAATTGAACAACAGCTTCATAAATGGTTTCTGGGACCCTGTGTATATGATCATCTGATATTCTAGCACTGCCTGCCTGAATGCCCAGGCACGTATACGCAGTTAGGCCCCTTTCACACTGGCAGTCCGATCAGATCCATTTGTCAGTTTTTCAGGAGGATCTGATCAGAAACGCAATGCGACTATGGACAGCCAGAAGGAAACAGACGTGTGTCCGTTTACCCCCGACTAGGTCTGGAAAAAAACAGAAAAGAGTTCAATTTTGGTGGACCTGAAAGTGATGGATCAGACGTAAATCGTATATAGAACTGACAAATGACCACTTACATCTAACTGCTCACAGACCTAACATTGCAAGATGGAGGAAAAAACTGATCGGACACAGATGTCACAAAAGTGACATCCGTTCCATACTGCTTCGATCAGAACAAACACCGCCCATGTGAAAGGGGCCTTACATTACTTTCCGGACAACTCCTACAAATAAAGGAGTACGATTCCAAAATGGCAAGTGGCAGAGTCAGGAGATCTAGAGTGAGGATTTTGCTTGTGGAGTCCCAAAGACATATACACAGCTAGTGTTAAGATTTCCCCACCAGCAAGCACACAAAACTAAAACATGTTTTCTTAGGGTAATCTTTAACGCATATCTAAACCCATGAAGAAAAAAAGTTCTATAATGCAGCTTTCCATTCATCAGATGTGGTGGCTTCGGATTTCTCGCCTTTATTGTCACCTGTGATCCTGCCAGCAAACACCTGTCCTGGGGTGACAACACTCACTCATTTACTCTATCTATGAAGGAGCAGAGTTGCCATATTAGAGAGTGTGGAAGGATGAATAAACTCCCTGATGAACAATCGGGCTGCAACCAGGCCAGACCCGAAAATGTTTATCCGTAAATCCCGGGGAAAACCCAGGATGGCCTAGGATAGGTGTTGGAGGGGACGGAGAGGAGGAGACACTACACAAAGTGTAGTATCGTTGTACTGATAGGATAGTAGGGCCAGCCAAAAGGATGCTGAAGTAGATCAGGGAGAAAACAAAGTTCCGCCCATGGGACTCCCTGCAATGGGAACTCTATGCATTCTTCTTCTAATTGGACCCACAGTTTATGCTCCCCATGTTTAACCCAATCCACCACTCGCGTTAAGTGCGTAGCTAGATAATAGAGTTCCGGGTCAGGAAATCAAATGCCCCCTTGTGATTTATTTTGCAATAGATTGTCGCATCTGAGCCTCACCGACTTTCCCTGCCAAATATATTTCTAGGAATACGAATAGGTAGGGTTTGGAAAAGGTATACATTTTAATAGTATATTTAAGACGATAAGGCAGCAAATAACAAAAGCTTGTTAGGATTAATATACACTTTAAATCTCAAACACGCACTCATATGTAGTCATAATAATGCACTCAAATGTAGTAATAGTGCAAGCGTGTTACCTAAAACCAGAGTAGCACAAGTTAATTCTGTATGTACATGCCACAATTTATTCCAAAAAAAGATCATATTTGTGTAGTTGCATATAATTTAAACAACCTCTATATATGTAAAATAAATGTAGGATTCACCCACCTGTTATTAGCAAGGTTTTCCAAGCAGCCCTCAATGAAACGCATCCTAATCTGCCTGTCTGTAAACCAGCAAACCAAGGAACAAAGAAGCTTCTCTGCTTCATTTATTAAACCTTCAGACAGGTGAACCTGTAGCTTACAAACCAGAGTTAGTTACAAATCATGTCTGTGCATTCAGTGCTCTTATACTGATGATAGAAAATGAACTCACAGCATCCTCATCTTGAACAAGATCCCAAAGAAGTGTATTCCCCTTCTTGCAAACATTGTCCAAGTTGATATCCATCACTGCATTACTGTTGTACTGATGTTTATGTACAGAGGGACCTGAACAACCAACAATTAGGAACAAAACACAGCATAGTGTCAATTATATTGCCAGAAATACCCAAGAAAGTCTATACAGCAGCACAACACTGCTACATTCTACTTTTTACCTTACAAAAACTGACCAAATGCAAACAAATGACATACCACCTATCAATTGGCTTCAATGATGAAAATAGATAATGGCAGCTTCTAACACAGATTGCTAGGGCTGGACTGAAAGGCAATAGCTCTCCTTCTGACAGCTTCCCTTTAAAAATGTATGTTATCTCAACTCTAGTCACTGAAATGTTTTAGACTTAACTCTCCACTACAAAAAGAGAAACCAGGATACAAAATTTCGATATACCGGTTGCATTACCTAAAGTTAAACAACAGGCAGATTCAAAAAAACACAAACGGAGCTAGGTATTCATTAATCATTCAACATATTGTTTTACATTTTGAATTAAACTAATAATAGCTGAATCAACTAGCAATTCCCTATACTGCAACACTCACACTGGGAACAAATCATGTGTGCTGCATGTAAATGTGATGGTAATAAGCATGCTGATAGGAGGCAGAAGCAGAGTAGGCAGATAAATAACTTCATCAGCTTGCTGCTGCTCTTTCACTGTCCAGTCAAAAGGCTGGGAGGGGAAAGATGACACCAATATATTTATTAACTGTAAACGATGTCGTCCACCAGACTCTGCTGTGTAAATCTCAGGAAAAGATGGACAGAAATAATGCTTCTGGCAGGTACAATTTCTCTCATGTATTTCTTTTGTGTATTAAGCAGTTTGCCTGGCGATCAGCTTTAAAAATGGTTTACAAGTGTGCATGTATAATATTACAATGCAAACCTGCTAATATTACACTGATAACGCAGGAAAGAACCGTTCTTACCTTGATTCAGATGCTCATGGTAAATAGAAGCCAAATTGGGAAGGTGCTGCTGGAGGTGGGAGGTCAGCTCAGCATGGGAATTAATCTGAACAAGTTCTTCCTCACAGCCAGACTCTTCACCATCAAAGTCCGCCATGTTTTTCTCAGACTTTGCACTAACTTGTGAGCTACTACAACTCACATCATCCGCACTTAACATGTCATCTACCATATGCCTGGAAAGGAGAAAGAATGGGGTAATGCTCACACTGGCAAGTGGGTCAGATCAAACAGCAATTACAAAGCTCTGATCAAACAAAGCAACAATGGCTAATATACCGTACATCCAAGATATAATTTAAGTATTAACTCGCCCAACTGATCATAATGTGAATGTAGTGTCGAAATCTTTGCAAGCACTGCGTTAAACAAATTACAGTTTATCAGGAGGGGTTTGTGCTTGCCTGCCATGCTTGAAGCTAACAAAGCAAAAGTAAATATAGAAAAAAAAAAATCATAATACAATTAATGATAAATTCAGATCAACAGGTTAATTCAGGATTAATAAAGCCATACAGCATTAAAACATATTCTGATCTAAACAGTAAGCAATAACCATCACTTGTACAGAAAAAAACGCTTTATTATTAGCAAAACCATAAATTTACGTACCCCTCATGGTGGTGGTGGTGATGGTGGTGGTGATGATGATGATGGTGGTGGTGGTGATGCTGGGGACCAATAAACCGTCTGCAGTTGAACAGCTCATTCTCGATAGCCTCTCCCAGGAAGTCTCCGCTGCGGGCGATGCAGGTGTCATGAGAGCCTTGCATGTGGCCACCACTCATCTCCCCCGTCATTTCATGCTCAGGCTCTTCTGAGTGGGAGCAGGCATCCAAGATGCGAATGCGACTATCACCTGGTTGAACAGACTCTGAATTAAAAACCAGGTCCTTGCATGTGCCATTGCTTGTTGCACCTATATCCGTTGTCCCCTGGGGCTCCCCCAAACAAATACCCGCTTGAGACTCCAACTTTCTCTTCTGTAGGTCAACTACTCTTTTTGATGGGTTGTGGGAATGCTCCTCTTCATCCTCCTCCTCTTTTAAGGCTTCCATATCCGCTATGTCTTCTGAATGAACCTCGCTGCCGGGGCTGCCTGCAGACTGGCTGGCATGGCTGGAGTTGACCTCATTGCTTGAGCCATCGCTGTGCCCACTGCTACTCCCTGGTCCGCTGCTAGCATCTTCACCACTGTTCGCCGTTTCATCTGAACTCCCTTGCATCGACTCCTGATAAGAATATATACAGTATGCGTCAAGGACTGTGCCGAAAACTGGAGACATTCCAGAATGTGACCGGATGTGGCTTTTTGGGGCATAAAATGGTGGGCTGGGTGTTCTAAGCAGGGGAAACCCCTGAATATTACACATATACACACAAACACACACTGTATTTATAATTGGAATACCAAACTATAATAAATCTGTTTTGCTAACCTTAAATAAGAAAAACTATCACTCTAGACTGGGTCAATGTAATATGGCTAGGCTGGGTAACATAAAAGTGGGGTATGTTTAAGACTTGGGCAAGGGACCATTGTTGGGCACAGGATGCCAAAATATCTAAGCCCTATCCCAAAAAACTCTAGAGCCCAAGAGTTGAAAGGATAAGCACATTTTCAATATAAGTATCCTCCATCCCCTCCCTTTATTTATTTTATATTTAAAATTTTAAAAAACTCAATTTTGGATGCATAAATCACTGTACAGCACTAGTGATTAAACCTCCTCTTCAACTTGGTACCTGCACACTGTAACCCTATAGGCTGTAATTGATTTTCGTCAACCTGAAAGTTGATGAGAAAGGCAGAAATCAAATCACAATCTAGGGTGCTGCGGGGCGTATGCACCAAGTTGTAGAGGATGTCTCAGTCCTCGTGTTTCTATGGAAACACGATTGCAGACTTGCTGGAACGTGCGCAGCAGCTTCTGCATTAAAAGGTGAGTGCTTTTACTCAGACAGGTAGCAAGAGCCTGAAGGAATTTTTTTTTCTTTCTTGTCTAGTGAGGGACACAGGACGTCTTAACCCAGAACTTCCCAAGGTAGTTCCCACCTTAAACCTCAACCAGGACATTGTCTTCACATCCCTTTTTCATATTTCAGTTCATCAGATGCATCATGGGATTTGCAGTTTCACCACACAAATGTTGCATCTCCTTCCCTGCCCCATTCATTTGGGCCATATGGCAACTGAATTAAGCTGGCCATACACCTTACGACCATCGCAAGACCTTTGTCTTGCGATGGTCGTAAGCTCATTGAAAGCTCGTACGATCTGCCCATCTTGGACGGGCAGATCGTACTTGCGATCATCGAAAGCCCGCCCCGCTGAGGGGCGGGCT